ACACAGGGGATGAACTCAATGCTCAGGCCAATTCCAGATGTGAGTCACAGGGAAAAAAATTACTGCACATCTAGACACCCGACTTTCTTCTCTCTGTCAGAAAGGGCTGATTCACACGGAATATGTGGTTGTTATGGGCTGCCATGTCACTGTTTTCTCAGATTTGGGCATTAAGATTTGGGGTAGGGGTTGTTTGCTTTTAAATTAGTGCCATTCCTCCTAGACTGACCTCCATCTCTCCATGTTGGAAGATGACCTTGACCACCTGATTGATCCTCTTGTCTCCACCCTCCAATACTGGGATTCCCAGCATCCTCCACCTGGTTTTATTTTCTGCTGGTCAAGAACCCAGGGCCAAGAACCAGTGTGCATGCAAGGCACACAGAACACTAGTCCTGTTGTTCACTTTCTATGTTTTAGAGAGAGAGAGAGAGAGAGAGAGAGAGAGAGAGAGAGAGAGAGAGAGAGATCTCACAGTGCCACCAAAGCTAGACTACTGCTCCTTATATAGCCCAGGCTGGCCTTGAATTTATGGCTAGTCTCCTGTCTAAGCCTCCAGAGTCCTGGGATTATAGGCATATACCTTCACCCTGGCTCTAGCATCTAGTCTTAAGAAAAATGCACAAACTCCCTAGAACTGGCTAAATGTGAGGGGCATGAGATCTCCCGAGGGGTGAGGGGACTAAACCTTGAAGAGGTGGGGGTGAGGCTCTATCCCATAGAGTCATCAGCTACAGGTCTGGGCATGGACATGGAGCTGCATACACAAATGCTAACAGTGTTCCAGTGTTCCAGTGCACCTAAGAGACACTGAGGCAGCAGGACCCTCAGGAATTTAAAGCCAGTCTGGACTACATACTGAATTCAGTCCAGCCCGAGTTATAGGGCAATACTCTGTGTGAACACTAAAACCAGCAGATGAAACCAGTTTGTAGCAGTACTATTCCTGTTGACCAAAGTAGACAGACCAAATGTCAGAAAATAAAATGAACTTGTGCATGTGACACCTTAATACACCTGTCAGGGAATGAAAGCCAATTTCCATCTTTGGTTGTAGGTGGAATGTGTTCCTTTAGCATGCTTCTGTGAGACTGTTATTATTAGGGTGGGTCGTTCAAGGTTTTGTGTGTGTTTTTTTGGTTGGTTGGTTTTAATTTCATGTTTATATTTCAATCAATTGCAATTTTTATTTTATGTCTGCATTTTGGACTTGCTGTTTATAGCGATCTTCAGTGTTTGATGATTCTCTGAGGGTTCAGTTTAAGACAGAACAGCTGACCTCCCTGGAAGTTGTTCATGTAGAAGAGAGGCAGAGAGAGAGAGAGAGAGAGAGAGAGAGAGAGAGAGAGACAGAGACAGAGACAGAGACAGAGACAGAGAGAGATACTCACCAGTGGCTTCATATTCCTGGGGATGGGAGCAGGTGAACAATACAGTTGTCTTAGGGGGATCACAATGTGAGAGGCCAGATCTCCCTCCCAGGCTGGCCAGAGTCGCCTGAGAAGTCCTCCTCAGTTTTGTGTGAGCAGATCCAGGGGCTGAGGCCAGCAAAGGATCCCATGGAATCTACTTTCCCAGAGTTGTTGTTGAATGGGGCTCTTGGGTGCTCTTCCCACCCAAGAGTGGAATAAGATTCTCTTTTCTTCTCATTGAGCCCCCCCCCCCCCACACACACAAAAGTCTGTCATAGGAGCTTAGTGTTGCTCAGAAGATCAAGCAAATAAGACCTACAGATGTGTTCTCCTAGTGCTGGAACACTAGCAAGACACTTGTTGGACACAGAAGCCATCTTAGCATGATTATCATGCCAGGGCCCTTGTTTTCATGTTACATTATGGAGACACATAGAAAGATGTACCATCCACATCAGTCACACAGTGTCTCGTGCTGTGGCATGTTGGCACCATTTAAGGAGAAAGAACACAGGAGATGAGACCTTACCAATGTGACTGTGGGATGGACAGGGGAGGCTTCCCAGAAGCTGGCCCAACAGATGTGCAAAAGCCTGCTTACCTGTATAAGAACAAGCACCTTACAGATATGCCCCTTTGAGTGCAGACTTGGGCTGGCAAGAGGCAGGGCCCACAGCAGGTTGCTGCCCTCATAAGGGTTTCTGGTTCCATCCATATCACAACACCTATCACTGCCTCATGGTGTAGCACATGGTGGTGAGTGTGGAATCCAGTTCCCAATGGGAATGGTGGCCTTGAAGGAGCAAGCATGGAGAGGCAGAAGGTGAGTAACTAGAGGGCAGAATTGGTGGAGAGAGAAAACTCAGCTGACCCAGGAGTCACTCCTCAGTAGAGATTGTCCCAAGCTTTGCTCTGAGTTGGATCTGAGGACTCAAGCAATTTACCTTGCTGTGATGACTTTTGGGGGTTCTTGCAAAAGGTTGACAGGAGGCTGCCCTCTAGAGGAGTCCTACAGGGCTACTTGCAGGCCACATCCTCAACCTGGAAACCCATCTTGGGGCAGGTAGGACAGGCTGACTAGAAATACTCTCTCCTGGGAGAGAAGTCTCACCTCATGGAGAAGACCATGTTCTCTGCCCAGAAACAGGGAGCAAAGGAGAGTCACTACCCAGAGGGCAATCTCTGATGTTTAGCCAGGCATGAGGAGAGGGCAAGGGGCTATTGTTCCATGAGACAGCTTAGGGCCCCTTTGCACCTCAGCCCGCTAAACAAGACCCTGTGAAAAGCCTGTCCTTCCTGCCTGGGATTTTACCTGGAGAGCTCTGCGCTGGGGTGGTCAGCTCTTCCTCTGCAGCAGGGAACTGTCTCCACACTGCCTCCTGGACATCTGGCCTGGCTCCCTGTGGGGCTGTCTGATTCTCAGTCAGACCGGTCCCCAACCCGTGGCTCACAAGCCATGGGGCTGGGGCTTGACCTCTTCAGGACTTCAAAGCAGAAAGACACAGGAAGGAGACTCTTAGTGGCTTTGGAACACACAGGACTTACTGGGCTGGCCCTGCAGTGTCTAAGCACCCCACTGGTCCTCCATGGGATCTTTGCCTCCTTTGACCTTGCCCCGCCTCCTGCTCTCCCTGCTCTCATCAGCATCTCTGTGTCCACTTGTAGCTCAAAAAGCCTAAGGTCACACTTGAGGGGATTCTCTGGGATTGGTCTCTCTGATGTGACAGGTTGTTAGATTCACAAGTGTGCCATGAGTGGGCACAGGCATCATTTATCACAAAGGAGAGGAGGAGAAGCACGAATAAAATGAAGTAAGTGCACACACCTCGTTCTCGGGGTGACTCCATGATCCTTTCCCTTTGGAGTCAGGTTCTTGCAGGAGGCATGGCCTCTCTCTGCAGGAGGCAGGCAGCAGCAACAGAGGTTTCTGAGGCAGTTCATAATTGTTTTCTTGATCCCCTTCCAGCTGTGGCGCCTCCGTGTTCGGGAAGAAGCTGGGCCTGCATCTGGGGCTGGCCAGGTGTGATGGCTGCTTCCTGGGTCATGGCCATATCCAGAATGATAACCTCTTCCTGTGTGATGGTCGCTTCCTGGGTCATGATTGCTTCCTGCGTGATGGACTCATCCTAAATCATGGTCCCTTCCTAGGTCAAGGTGGTACCTGGGTGATAGCCTCATCCTGGGCCATGGTCCCTTCCTGGGTCATGGTTGAACCCTGGGTGATGGTCTTTTCCTGCAATGTATCCCAAGGGGAGGAGCCTGTGGAGATGAAATACTGAGATGCCTCTGGGAGCTCCAGAGTTCCTCTTGTGGACTGCAGGAGGACAAGTTGTTGTCTGTGTCACCTGGAGTCTCACTCTGGTGTGACCCAGGAGAGGAGGTGTCCAGAGAGAGAGGTGGCTGGACACTGGCCAAGTGACAACCGAATGACCCGAACTCCGAATGTGTGAAATACTCAATGCTTTCCAGGCTGCTGCTTGTGAAGGAATCAGTCGCAGAATAGAACAGGTGGGTTAGATAGGGATGGTGCATCCTCTTTGGCTGGCAGCACAGGGCGGCAGGCATGCTCTGCCTTGTGCCACCCTGCCTGGCATTCTTCTCATCTTTCTCCTTGGTCTTAGATGGCAAGGTGAAGGTGGGGGGAGCAGGCTCGGTAGCTCTCCATAAGGACACAGGGAAAGTGTGAAGAGCTGCCAGGTTGAGGTCAAGGCCTGACTGCATGGCTTTCCCGGGTTTCTCCTGGTGATGGTAGCAGTCTCCCCCAGGTGACTGGTGCTGTAGAATTAGGTAAGTGGCCATCACCTGGTTGTATTTCTGGTCTCTCAGAGACTCAACAATTTCTTCAGATTTATACCCCATGACTGTCATGGCCCTGAGAATGCTAGGGCTCGGGTTGCCTGGGAGAGCCTGGGTGGAAGTAGTTGGTGACCGAGCCTCACTGCTCCTGACCATGGGGTGCCTCATGATTTGGCCTATTGTGGGCCTCTGGCCAGGGTTGATGATCAGCAGTTCGACAATGACATTGAAAATGTCCATGGAAACATGTGGAGGCACCCTGAAGTTTTTAGTGAGGATCTGCTGTATCACCCCTGCAACAGAGCTAGCTTTGAAGGGAAAGTGCCCGGTGACCATGAGGAAGAGGAGCACACCTAAACTCCAAATATCAGTGGAGCAGCCATCGTATGCCTCCTTTCCAAAGAGTTCTGGGGCACAGTAGTACAGAGTGCCACAGAAACCACCAAGCTTCTCCTCAGGAATGACCTTAGCAGAAAGGCCAAAATCACACAACTTGGCCTTACCCATGTGGTCGATTAGGATGTTATTGGCCTCTATGTCTCTAAGAACAATAAGGTTATCATGGCAGATATTACTGGGTGAACAGCCTTCGAGCCTCACTCTCCTCTAAGGACCCCAGTTCCAGTATATGATGCAGCAGGTCTCCCTCTGATGCATGCTCCATCACCAGGTAGGTGGTCGCTCTGGTGTGGACCACATGAAACCATTTAATGATGTTGGCATGGTCAAGGGATTTCATGATGCTGATTTCACTGTTGATAAACAAGGCATACTTCTTCTTGTTTCTAAGAATTTTTACAACCATACAGGATACTGTGGACACATGAAAGGCCAATTTGACCTCTGAAAACTGTCCTTGGCCCAGGGTCATCATCATCTTATAGTCGTCAGTCAAGGTCTCCTCAGCAGAGCAGTGGGCCTCCCTGGCCTGCTCCATGGTCAGGTCCTTGTTGATAAGGCTAGAACCAAAGCCTCAATGGGGAATTTTAAACAGTCCAAATCAGGCCCAGGAGACTGTTTACCAACATGAATTCCTATATCCAAAAGGAAAAGAAAGTCAGAGGTACTTTAGACAACCTAACAGGGACTCAATGCTCAAGAACAGAAGAAAGAAAGCACCTCCCAAAGCAGCAGACAGCAGAATAAGACACAGATCGGGTTGGTCGGAATCAACCAGAAACAGAGAATAAAACAAGGGGTCACAGAATCTAAGAGCCGTTTCTTGGGAAGGATAATCATCCTGTTACATGAACTCAATACTCAGTGAGAGAAAAGGCACTAATAAAATCAGATGCAAGAGCAGCTGATAAGACAACAGACACCCCCAAACCCAGAGTGCTTGGGTGGGGAGATGGCTCAGGAGTTCAGAAGACCTGTATGTGGTTCTCAGGACCCAGGTCAGGTGGCTCACAACTGCCCTAACTCCAGCTCTAGGTGAGCCTACACCTCTGGCCTCTGAGGGCATCCATATATATGTGTGCATGTGCTCATGTGGGCACACATGCACAGACATGTGAACACTCACAGGCACTCTACATAACTTAAAATAGTGATAAAGGTCTTTTTGTATGATTTCTTTTCCATGACCTAGAAGGTAAGAAGAGGGCATCAGATCCCCTAGAAGTGGAGTTTCAGGCAGTTAGGGTAGGTCATGGGAGTGCTGGGAGGCAAACCTAGGTCTTCTGTAAGAACAGTGCATGCTCCTACCTGCTGGGCCATCTCTCCAACCTACCCCCCCCCCAAATTAATCTGTTTGTTAAACTCAGAGGGTCCTTCTCATTGATTGGAAAATGCAGATGAAACTGAGAAATTTCTAGATATAAATTCGACTTGAGAAGAGATGATAAACAACAAGATTGAAATATTTATGAAAAATGACTCTGCACAGAAAAGCCCAGGACCAGGTCCTTACTGATGAGTCATTCCAGCCCCTAAAAACAAATGTCAGCGCTCCTCCAAACTGCACAGAATAGAAAGGACTTAACAGTTCCATACTCATAGTGTCCTGGCAAGGACACAATTAAGAAAAAAAAAAAAAAAAAAGAGCCGGGTGGTGGTGGTGCATGCCTTTAATCCCAGCACTCGGGAGGCAGAGGCAGGCGGATCTCTGTGAGTTCGAGGCCAGCCTGG